CCATTGGGCTGCCAGGGAAAATGGTGTCCGGCCAGATCGATCCGGAAAGTTGATATCCACCTGCTCTGTTGCAAGCAGAAGCTTAACCACTGCCTCGTGGCCCCATTGGGCTGCCAGGGAAAATGGTGTCCGGCCAGATCGATCCGGAAAGTTGATATCCACCTGCTCTATTGCAAGCAGAAGCTTGACCACTGCCTCGTGGCCCCATTGGGCTGCCAGGGAAAATGGTGTCCGGCCTAATCGATCCGGAAAGTTTACATCAACCTTCTCTGTTGCAAGCAAAAGCTTGACCACTGCCTCGTGGCCCCATTGGGCTGCCAGAGAAAGTGGTGTCCGGCCAGATCGATCTGGAAAGTTGATATCCACCTGCTCTGTTGCAAGCAGAAGCTTGACCACTGCCTCGTGGCCCCATTGAACTGCCAGGGAAAATGGTGTCTGGCCAGATCGATCCGCAAAGTTGATATCCACCTGCTCTGTTGCAAGCAGAAGCTTGACCACTACCTCGTGGCCATTTCCAACTGCCAGGGAAAGTGGTGTCCGGCCAAATTCAGAATCCGGGGAGTTGATATCCACCTGCTCTGTTTCAAGCAGAAGCTTGACCACTGCCTCGTGGCCATTTTGGGCTGCCAGAGAAAGTGGTGTCCGGCCAAACTCAGAATCTGGGGAGTTGATTTCCACCTGCTCTGTTGCAAGCAGAAGCTTGACTACACCAGTCAACCCTAAAAATGATGCAATCAGAAAGTTTGAAGCACCATATGGAATGTACGTCCCAGCCCGTCCATAAATATCAGACCATGTTTCATATACGACAGAGTTTGGGTCACAGATTGAGTGCGCGCGTTTGATTAGCGGATCCTCATCTCGCACCCGCGCTTGATGGTAGTGTGTAACCCAGGACTTTGATGCATATTCATCAAAATCCCCTTGGTGAATACCTCTCCGATCACCAGACATCCATGCGATCCATGCAATACATATAGATGCAAGAATCCAATGAGACTCCTCTGGTACGAGTGCATGCTTCCATATTGTAGCTTGGGTCTCATTCTTATCAGGAGCCTGTCTGTTGCCGAAGACCAAGAATTCCTTCGCTGTTTGGTGCAGGAGGTAAACCTTCTCATTTATTATCACGACAAAGAGTCCACACAGGTCCCTGAGGGTCTTTCTGAAGCGCTCTTTCGGTTCGACATCATCACTTATAGCCGTGAATGCTTGGCAGTCCGCATTGATGTGCAATGCCAAGGCAAGAGATAGCTCTTCCAGTGAGAGCGGCTCTACCGCAGCCGTGATCATATGAAGAAGAGCTTTAGCCTTGGGTTTATCAACACTCCTGTCCAAGATCCTTTCATAGGCGCTTTCAACGGTTTTTGGAAGATTCTGTACCACCCGACGGACATTGCCTTTCGTGAAACCTGGTATGTTCTCGACAACATCCAAGGTAAGACTAACCCACAAGTAGGTTCTATTCTCAACAGCAGTCAGTTGGTGTTCCAGCATGCTGCATTCGTCTTCCTCGAGAGACTTCTTTTTACCGATATCCATCACCCGTTTGCCGATAACAAGGTTGATCTCACGAGATATTTGCTGGACCTCTTGCTCGTCATCACCGCTCAAGTGAATCGTAGGTAGTTTTGCCTCGAGATCCGAGAATCCACGACGTATGTCGTCGTATGGTCTGCTTGTCATCAAGAACTTGAGCTTGCTTTTTTGATGCGGTCTCAAGTAGAACTCTTTAACTGCTTTGAGAAGTTGGGCATGGTCATGACACTCGTCCAACGCGTCCAGAATGCAGATAGTTTCCCCGTCCGTTAGACGAGAAGCAACAGATATAAGCATGTCCCATAACTCAGACCATGATTGAATAAGCCTTTCTCCCTCGGTCTCCATCTTATTCAATTCTCTATCGTGTAGAAGCTGGGGCTGCGCAATGAATAGTTGACGTAAGATGGCTGCCAGTGCACCTGCTGCACTTCTCTGATCTGGAAAGTCGTCTTTGAAGAAGAAGTAACAAACGGTTCGTTTATTGTCGTTGAGAAGAATATCATCAACTAGGTATCTGCTTAAGACTGATTTCCCGCAACCTGGATCGGCTGAGACCCATAAGAGACCAGCGAGGTCATCGGGAGAACTCTGTTGCCACTTCTGAAAGGTACCATGTGTGGTGAACCACTCACAGGTTCCAGGCACACGCCTGTCATTTCTGTTTTTGCGATCCTTGTAGGGGCACGTGTAGAGTAACTTGAGAAACTTTCTGATCCTCTCATCTCGAGCCGATGTTGTCGCCCATAGATCGCGTTGGTGTGCAGCGTTCCGGATTACTTCAATCCGTTCTAGAAGATCCTGGTGCTTCTGCCTTGTGCCTCTAGCTTCAATAAGGGCCGTTGTAGTTTCGATGGACTTTTCAAGTCTCTCAATATCTTGGCACAGGCTAGCCCATCCGTCCGAGTCCAAGAAGTCTCTTAATAACTGTGCAGCTGAGCGTCTATGTAAATAAAAGAGCGCGCGGGCCTGGAACTCGAGAATCTTGCAGCAAAGAGAGGTCAGAAACCCCTTTAGTTGTTTTAGGAGATCTGTTTCCGGGCCGGTCTGGGAGGTCAAATACAGATCTTCCCTCGCGCGAAGTCGAATCATGGACTCGGAAATCAAGTCTAATCCTCGGAGAAGGACGGCATGCTGTTCTACTGCTTGAATAATCATCTAAATGAAGTTATTAGTCTGCGAACAACAGAGAGAGTTGGGAGCGCATCAAATCCGGGCTTACCGTAAAGCACACCATAACACCAGCGCAGGCGATTGAGGCAGGCGGGCTCGCACTTGCGGCCGTACTGACAACCTCCTTAACGACGAGGATGTTTTTGAGCACTTTGTTGAGCTGGTCTCGTACAACAACACTATGATCTCCCAGGTGAACTTCCCATTTCTTTGTCTCGGCTTCAGCTGTTTTGGCATTAAGGAGTTTGCAGAGTTGTTCGTGGTAACTTGGATCACCGCGTTGCAGATCAAGACGATATTGAGATTCTAGTATATCCATCGAATCCGATAGAACTTCGGCCAGTTCACGGTTCTGTTTCATCTTTTGCTCGGCCAAGATCCAGAGATCGCTGGGTCGAGAGATTGATCGGGGGTGCTTTTTGGGCTTGCATTCCAACGCCTCTGGTGAAATTGTATCCTCCTTTTTCGGTCTGATTTTGTTGTCAGACGGTGTTTTCTCTTTGTGTAGCTGTAATTTCTTGAAAAGCCACTTAGGCTTAGAGCGGAGACCAGGCATGGTAGAGACTCTCGTTGAATCTTGCTGTTGGAGACGATGAGAGACTTTCTGTGTCGGCTGTTAGGAGGATTGTCACCGGTACTTTTGGAGCGGCACTAGATCATTTAGTTCGCTTACATGGTTGCTTTCTACAACCGGACCCCGCCCCCTCATTGATGTGTTGATGCGGTTGAATGAACAGCAGGATACGACAATGCTGATTGCCACACAAGAAAAGGATTTAGAACATTGATCAATTGCAGTCCTACTCTCGAAAAAGAGACGGAGTGCCCTGCGTATCGCTTTGAGATCTTCCGTCGATACAACTGCCTTACTGGATTTGACCGCGTCATTCGACCGAGACAAGAAGCAGTCATTGCGATTGAGGTGATATGTTCATGAACTGGATGTTGATTGTGTGATTCTCCATTTGTGATGCATCGAGCAGTCTTGCAGATGGCCATCGCCAACCACAATCACCATTTGTCCATACCATTTGCGTTAAACTGCTATGGGCAAGATGATAAGCGGGAGTTAATCACAGACCCGATGCTGTATATCTTTCTGGAAATTCTACACCAAACTCCTTGCTCTGTATATTCTGAACAATCTTAGGTGGCCCAGAGAAGGGGAATGTCAATCTAAAGCTAAAGGAGTCAGTCGATCGACAAGAAAAATGAAGGTTTTCCTCAATGATAAAGCAGCCTCATAGCAGTCCCTTCTGAGTTAAAATACGGGACTATGAGTACCCTAATATCCCATATGCAAGGATCATATCCCTTGAGTAGGCTTAGTATTCCTCTGTATCACTTTGAATATTTGAGCGACTAAGCACTATATGCAAGGCAGCAAGGCAGCAAGGCAACAAGCATTAATCTACGGCATTGCGTCACTCAATCCCCGATAGGGCTTAGGGCTGGACGAACCCATGATCGACTCCCCTCATATCACGTGAGCAACTGCCGTCGATTGCTTAGTCAAGTGGGCCTCCTCAGAGGGATGTTTTCCAGTCGATCTTGGCGGCGGTTTCCAATCTTGCGCCCTGCTACCTCGGGAGCACATTCTTGTCAAGCAAGCCATGTTGGGCCCCTCGACATCCACGCTACACCTTACACAATCATTCATGGCCTGATTCTCTTCTCGTCTTATCAAACACATTCAATGTGAACACTGTAAATACCCTTCTCAGTGCCCGCGCCGCATTCGTTATCCCGCTTCATTCCGTCATCTCCGCTGTTGTGCTGTGTTCGCATGTTCTAGCTTCGAGATAGCAATCCACATCCTTAAAACCGACGATCCTTCACTTCTCGAGCGGAAGCTCCTCCAAACCCACCGCTCATCTCTTTGCTCACTTCACAACCCACGATGACTTCTCCTTACCAGTCGTCTATTTCGTACTCGCCGTCCGTCGCTGGTCCCGACATGGCGGGCACGTCCCGCGCCATCGCCGACCTGCCTCAATCCCAAGTCGACGCGATCATCCGCACAAAACGCAAGGCGCGCGAACCCAAGGCCTGCTACCCCTGCCACGCTCGCAAAGTGAAATGTGACCGTAACCTTCCCTGCGACGGCTGCGTCAAGCGCGACCATGCCGACCTCTGCTCCTACGAACGCCCCTCCAAGAAGCGCATCATGACGGGCTCGCTTCCGCAATCATACCATAGTCCAACTGTCCCTGGTGAGACCATCATAATTCCACCCGAGCCTCCGGCACGTCCGAAGCCAGAGGCGCCAGTCAATCGGCCAAGCTTGGTGGGGCAGGTAGGGCCCGGGCGAGTATCGATCGCGCGCGAGGAATGGGACAATGTTCGCACTCGGTTGCGGGAGATGGAGCAAACGATCAACAATTTGCGGGTTGGACTCGAGAGAGCCGAAGATGGACACGGTTCTTCGCTGGAGACCGGGAGCATACAGAGTGGTGATGCCAGTAGTCGGTCGAAGGCTGCTTCCCCGGAGCGGGAGGGCATCCATGCGCCCAACACCTTCGGTGAAGGCACGGTGCACCTGGGGTCCCGGTCGGTGTTGGCTTACATTCTCAACAACAAATCCGGATCCGACCAGCTTCAGGCCCTGCTGGAAGGCGGGATCTTGCCGAAGCTGGGCCTGGACAACGAATCCGCAACGTACCCGTTTGTTGACCTCTGGTCTTCTGACATGTCAACTTTCGACATCAGCGCCGTCTGCAGTGCCCTTCCAACTGATCAGCAGTGCAAAGAGTCAGTCTTTATTTACCTGTCTATGGGGAATCAATGCTAAGCACCTCTGCCTGCAGCTTCTTCTACTATTACCGAGACATCGCAGGCGCCATCTACCCTGTCCTCGAGGATGTTCCACAATTTGAGATGAATCTTCACCTTCTGCTAAGTAACCGAGCATCGATGGGTGGTGTATACCGCGCCGATGCAGACCAATCTCAGAAACCCTTTGGTGTAACTATCGCCTACATGGGATTGTTGTTCGCCGTACTCGCCTCTGGCTGTCAATCATCGGATCTACCGGGCAAGGAGAGAGAATTGACATCTCAAGTCTATGGTTCGTCTTTGCCTACCCGCACCTCGTCAACATTTACTGACTGTAGTAGTTTGCTGCTCATACCAGTGTCTTCGTATGACCAACTTCCTGTCGCAGCCGACGATAGATGCCATGCAGACACTACTGGTTATCGGCAACGTCTTGTCGTACAACATGAACCCCGGAATCTCCTACGTGCTTCTCGGTATGACGCTTCGAATGGGCTTGGCACTCGGTCTACATGTCGAATCCAGTCGCTTTTCAGCCGCAGAGCGTTATCGCCGCCGGCACGTTTGGTATGTTGCATTTAGCCCCAACACGAAATAATGTGTGAGGAAATATGATTCTAACCAGAAACAGGTGGTCAATGGCATGGCAAGACAGCCATTTCTCACTTTCCTATGACAGACCTTCTACGACCGCTGTGTGCCAGCCGGAAATCGCGTATCGTGACGATCCGAAGCCTGGCGAAATCTCGTACTTTGAGACGCTGTGTCGAGTAATCGGTCTTGCATTGGAAGTTGTTCGCAGCCGCATGCTGAGCCCGCATTCGCAGCTGAGCTACAAGACCATCCAGGGCTACAAGGAACGCATCCAGCAGATCATGATCGAGGCCAAGCCTCACCTCCGGGATCGTAAATACTGTCTCTCTGCAACGGAGCACCTCGAGCGAGTCGTTCTCAAATTGCACACATCATACTTCTCCTCCGAGCTTTATCGGCCAGCGCTGAAGCTGACGGGAGAAACGGCCGACCCAGCCGCAGCCAGTATGCGTGCCGATTGTGTCAACAATCTGATGACGACGGTGGAGGCGTACATCGAAATGCATACTGTCAGTTCACATGCGTCTCGATCGTGGATTGCTCTACAGCGAGCCATCAGCTCGATTTTCCTGTTGGCTGTTACCGAAGAATCCAAAACCATCCCGCGTTTCTGGAGCTTGTTGCAGCAGCTCAAGGTCATTATCTCTGAGCGAGCGAACGCCGAGCTTGACTTCAACTCGACAGACGCCGCTGCTCCTCCGACGGATGGGGTCGCTCCCCCTACGCTCAGCACCATTCCTCGAGCACCTAGCACTGCCGCCCCGAGTCCAGCAGGCTTGAATTCTGCATCACCCGGATCCGTAGGTGCCGGTGTTGACACGCAGACGCAGTGGGCCAAGCCGTTGACCAAAACTCTCCGCGCACTGGAGAAACTCGAAGCAGCTTTCACCACCCAGGCTGCTCGAGCCGCCGGTCAGGCCGGTTCCCCAGCGTACCTTAACCCGCATGCAGGGTCCAGCATGGGAGTCGCCGGTGTAGCAGCTAGTATGACACCGAGCCTCGGATCTCTTCCGCCTCCGACTCCGGAAAGTTCGACCAGCGGCGAGTGGTCCATACCTAATATCCTCGATCGTGCGGCCGAGTACATTCATCCACCCTTATGGAGCTGAGCGCGATAGTAAGAGGGGGATGATGAACATACCGGCGTTTTGTGTGACTCTTTAGCATTTATTGAGACGGTGGGGTTAGCTGGGACTAGGCGATTATGATCACTGCTGGCGCATGTTATGTGGAGTTTGAAAATGGGTTGACGTTGTTGTCGTTAGATACTCCCTCTTCATTCTAGTTTATCTATGTGTAGTGTACTCAAGGAATCGCACACATTGTAGTTCCGCTGTGGTTTGTTCCTTTCCATTATTAAGTTTGTACCGAGTAAGACAGGGGCTCAATCTCCGTTATCGCCGGATCAATGACCTCATCGCCAACTTGCAGCCCGTTTCCATAGCGTCCGCAGTGGATGAAGATACCTACTGGATGTTCTACTCTAGCATCTTGCTGACAGTCTACCAACCTCCGTTATCAAATCACGGACTCGGAACAGAACATCTCGTTTTCGATTTCCCAGAGTTACAAATTACAAATCCTACGCGCTGAGGAATGCAGGCCGGAACCCGAGCACTTAACTCCGCAACACACTCTTGACCAGCAACAGTATATAAATCAAACCCGTATCAACCACAGAGCGATAGCATCTGAGTCACGGCTCACAGTCCATGCAATTCAAACTACCTCCAAACATCCCAACACGATCCACCAACCCCAGCACCTTAAAAAAAGAAATGACGACCTACCTAATCACGGGCGCAACCCGCGGCATCGGCCTCGAACTCACGCGCCAACTGGCCGCCAAACCCGCCACGGAAGTCCGCCATATCTTCGCCGCCGCGCGATCGTTGTCATTATCATCATCGACAACATCAACAGCGAATCAATCCACCCCGCAAACACCCTCCGACTTCCAGACCCTCGTGAAAGAGCATCCCTCGCGCATCACCCCCGTCCCACTCGACGTCACCGACGAAGCAGGCGTGCGACGAGCCGCGCAGTTGGTCGAGCAGGCACTGGAGGGCCGGGGATTGGATGTATTGATCAACAATGCAGGAGTGATGGGGCGGGTGTCGTTGATGGAGATGTATTTCCCTTCCTCTCTCTTAATACACCTATCCTTTCATAGAAGTGTCAGTAGATGATATCTCAAGACTAATATGGAACGGGGAATGCAGGAACGACCTCACCTCCTCCTTCGACGTGAATGTCAACGGCCCGCACCTCGTCACGCGCGAGTTCCTCCCGCTGTTGCGGAAGGGGACGATGAAGAAGATCGTGAATATGTTAGTCGTCTATCCTTCTTCTCCGTTCCATGGCAGTATGCGGCAGGCAACTGACAAAAGCAGCTCCACAACCCTCGGCTCCTTCGCGATGCAATCAGTGTACCGGGAGGCCAGGAGTCAATCCTACAAGATCACCAAGGCGGCGCTGAACATGCTTACCGTGCTGTATGCGCAGGAACTCGAGCAGGAGGGGTTCGCGGTGTTTTGCGTTAGTCCGGGGGTAAGAGTTCCCTTTCTTCCTTCTTTCTTCGATGGTTCAGACCTGGTCAGAATAGTCAGGATAGTCATCAAAGCCAGAGATGAGAATCAAAGTAAGGCCAATGCTAACTCTACCATAGTGGCTACAAACCGAGATGGGCGGTCCGCGAGCGGATCTCCCGGTGGCCGACGGCGTGCGCGCCACGCTGGAGATCATCCTCAACAAGGGGAAGGAGGGGAACGGGCGGTTTTTCAATATCCATGTTCCGGGCTGGAACTCGGGGTGGAATCGGTATGATGGCGGGGAGTGTGCGTGGTAGGTTGGTTGCCCTTCTCCGCAAAGGGGAGGGGGGAAGAGAATAGGTGTAGGAACGAAACGAACCCCTTTCGCTTTGGTCAAAGGAAGTCCATTCGAATCTACTCCTGCTGCCTAAAGCAAAGACCGTGGACAAGGATGCTCAACCCCGAACACCCTCGAGAATCTTACCAATCCCATCCGTCCATCCATCCATCCATCCATCCATCCGAACAAACAAAAACCATCACCAGCAACCAGATCAGTCCCAATCCCAAGAAAACCAGTTTCTAAAATCTTCATGCAAACGGATCCCACAAGCCCGAGCCCTCTCTCTAAACTACCCCCCATTCCCCCCCTTTTCCACGACAACCCACAGTTCCTCCCCAAACAAAAGCAAAAGCGCAGAAAAAAAAAAAGCAAACATCCTCCTCCGCCTCCCTCCATGGTATGCCATGCACCACGGCCCGATTGTCACTTGGCTTGTCACAGTTACTGAATTCAAATTCCTGTACTCCCAGATGTATGTACATTTTCGGCACCACCACTGCGCTGAAGTGTATCATTCCTCGGGAAGCGGAACATCTGTCGATGGTGACGATGGTAGTTCCTCAAGGGTACATACATAGACCATACAATGTAACACGCTACCTTCAAACCCACGCGAGAAGGGTAGAAAGGTACACAGCACTGATTTTCCCACGCGGTGGCGACACCTTGAAGTACAGCCTACACGGCATAAGAAGAGCTACTAATTCATCTTTCGAGGGTCAGCAAAGTGGCAAGGATGATTACAGGGAAGGGGGCAGGATCACGGGGGTCGGTAGAATCCGATATCTTGCTGTCCGGTCTCGGGGGTGATGTACAATGAACTGTAGTCGAAACAGCGACCGCGCGTTTCTTTCTTTTAGTTCATTGTCCGGTGCTTGCAGTGGGCATAGGATATTCGGGTACCGAAGGATGGGGATCCTGGTCTATTTCTCTAAGAAATTCAGTGTTGTTTCTCTCATATTGGTGCGTCTTAACTCCGCCTTTAAGTCTATAGTTGCGGTGGATGCACTTCAGCGTTCTTCTGAGACGCAAAGCCCATGCTGCAGACTACTGCATGCGGAACCAGGGAGGAAGAAAACTTCAGAAAACAAACAGCTTGCGCCGTAGTCAAATCAATGCTGTCAGACCGTGAGTCCTAGTAACTCAGGTGAGGTCTGCCTTTGCACTGAGCTGCCGCCTTGTTTGCTTGTCTACCGTGGCTCACCGCTTCATCATGTCCATACGCTCCTCTCCAAACTACAATTCGCAATCGTTATATCTTGCAATCTATGCTATCTCAGAGATAGAGCTGACAAATGATCGCTGGATCCGATTCTGCAGTCTAGGTACCATAACCTCCTCCCAAAATAAGCAAGCCTGGTATATATATAGAATTCAAATCCATTCACATCATCATCAGTTGCATGCTTTCATTGGCTGGCAGCGAGTGTAGCGGGCAAACAGACGTTGAAGTACCTGCATTAACCCAGTCACTAGCTGCCATCATGCCAGGGGATCCAGTCATCGACCCTTGGTTTTGGCACTGACACAAGGTTTCATGCAACTCAACAGGACTCGACGATCCTGAGAGCTTGACGGTGCTGCTTGCAGTTGGTGGTGATTGCGCCGTTGTTAGGCTGGTAGGCACTGAACCATGCTGCGTATTCTGCGAGAGCACGATGATTGCCTTTGGTCGCGCTGGTCCCGTGCTCAAGGTTTGCATGATCTGTGGCAACGCTGCCTCTGTGGCAAGACGATCAGCTTCATGAGTCTGCAAACCCGCATGCGTCTTACCTGTTGCGATGTAGTAGAGCGACGATCCCGAGTACTGAGTTTGGCCATTCCATGGCTCGCAAAGAGGTGGTGCATTTGCTTCGGTTGCTGCGTATCCTCCGGTTATTCCTTGCAGGATTTCAGAAGCACTAGGGCTAGATCGCGGGAAATAGGGGTGGTTGCGGAGGGTCGACGAGGACATATTCGAAGCATCTATCTCGGTGATGTCGTACAGAGGCGATGTGATTGTCATTTGCGTCGAGTACAACGGCAATGGCGCCAACGCAGTATTGCATGATGAGCAGAAATACCTTGATTGGGACATATACGATGATGCAAAGCCGGAGGATCCGTCGGTCATAGACGAAGCCGATGTGCCGCTGGGGTCAAAGACGGGCGAAATTCGATCCACCGTTGGCGGACCGTTGATTGAGCTGGGATGGTCCCAACCATTAAGGCTTGCAGCTGCTCGTAGCTCACTGGCGATGACACGCTCCTGAAGCTTTGCGATGCGGTCCCGTATCTTTCGACCTAGGTAGCCTGTGAGTAGTGAAGTTGACTGTCATCACGTACTGATCCTACTCACGATGATTCCTCTGTGACAATCGATTTTGCAACCTCCTACGCTCAATTGGGTCCTGCTTCTGTCCAGAGCTGTCGCTGGAGCATCTTTCCTCCTTGGTGGGCTGTGGTCGCATCTTCATAGACATCAAAATAAAGGGAGCAACGCGGGTTTTGAAGTACTGCGGTCGGCGTGAACAAGTAATCTCTGTAACGGCGAGCACCATACACAAGTAGCGATGAAGATAGCCAGATGCCAGGGTGGAGGCTGGATTCATATATCTGGCGCCTTGCGGGGGGGTAGCAATGCGTGTTGGGAGTGACAGAGCCTCCACCTGCTGCTGCGTGTCTCGCTGTCAACCCGTCAGTAGGCCGATCTTGCTGCAATCTAACCTTCCTTCCTTATAAGGATAATATGCACTCAGCTTACCGTATCCGAGAAATCAATGGAGCCAAATCCCGGATATCCCAGGGACCTTTTGCTTGTTGTGATTGGCTCAAATGGCAAATATTACGAGGTTGCGCAATGGGTGCAACATGAGGTCGGGCGTATAACCAAAGAAGAAAGGTTGTGGCTCGTGCTCGCAAAGCAGTATTTGAATATCCGCCGTGCGTGGTTACTCGAACCATTCTATATGTCTTCTCTCCGGCCCTCCAGCCAGCCAGTCAGTCATGACTCCTTGCTTTCCCACCGCACTGGTACTTGACTCGTGACTTCTCAAGCCACGCGCTGGACGTCCTGCTTCCAGTCCGCGCTGCAACCCCGGTCCATGTCATACATAAGGCCTTGGCTGTAGAGGTGCCCAGACAATAACAACCCATAGCTCTGAGGCGCGGGCAAGGCTTCACTTGGCGCTGCTAATCATTGAAGGGTGTGTCCAACCATGATCAACGAGCAGGCTTTGCATGAACAGGCTTTGCATGAATATCGAGAGGGCTAGGCCGCAAAGGTCGAGCCAGATCCGCCCGCCAAATGAGTCTCAGCTGATGGTGTGCATCCAGCTGTTCGGACTAGAGTTATTTTCCTCATCGAGTATACTAGTCGGGCAAGACCTGCGCACGGATCCAGAGCAATAATGATAATGAACTAACCGAGCTATGCGGCAGCTGGGAACAGATGAGAGCAAGCAGGCCCGGGGTCCTTGGAGACGGACATAAGAAAGTCGTTCCAGTGCTTCGGTATACACGGCTACTCCTTGTTCGCATGTACCCGGGAGCGCCGTGTAGTATGACCATGTGTACGGTACCCGTGAGTGCGCACCCTCGATCACGGCACACCAGTTAGGGCTAAGCGATCCTCTTGGCGTAGCTAATGACGATCTCACCCACGCTAGTCTAAACAATACAGACCAAAGGCAATGCAGATGATACATCTCTTGGGCTGAACATTATGAGCGTGAGATTGAAATTAGCTTAGCATTCTAGCCTCGAAATGATATGGCTGGTGTATTATCACGGTAGCCATTGGGATAGTGAACCAGTTGCATGTCGGTAATACTCGGCCATGGCTCGATTGGGCTGCATGTAGGTCAAATGCGAATTGAAAATATGGAATTACTGAATACCAGCCAGGATGAAAATCCTTTACAGGCTTAGTGTTCATGTTCACTTGGAAAAACAAGGCTCTCCTACTATGGCAGATCCGGAAATGGCGATTGGTTTTGGTTCGAAGCGGGGGGAGGGGGGGGGCGTATTGAGTGGCAGTGTGGAATTGGTCGCTTAGGATGCCTGAGCTCAGTCCTGACGTGGGTTTCCCAGAAGACCAATCAAGCTATTTCCTGGCAAGCGAGGTTGGAAGAGACCGAAGCCGACAAGTGGATGAGACAGCGTGTCAGATTAAGGGCAAGTCACAGATCACAGCTCCGAGTCAATGGAAAGGCAGACCAGGGTATTCGTATTCGGACTGGCGTGTTTTGGATGTGAATTGGCGAGAGGGTCACGGCCAAATGATCCAGCTTCTGTGTTACCTCGATGAATCTGGAGCAACTTTGAGCCGTCCTTGGAAGGGCGCCGTGATGGTGTGGTAGTACCGATCTCGGGTAACTGGGAAGTCTTTGTTGACGGATGGATGGATGGATGGTCGATTGAGTGATTGGATAATGAAGGGAAGCAAGAGGGAAGAACGAAGGAGGGAAGAAGCTGAAGGTGGAATCCAGAATGGATGGATGGATGGAAGAAGGCAACGGCACTTGTCCCGTGACTGAGTCCCTTCCCTCTCTGAAACACACACACCCTCTCTATCTCTCTTTCTCTTCTACTCTACTGTTCCTGTAAATCTCTTACTTGGTCAGTTTGGCCAACAGCCAATTCCAGTCGCATCACATTCAAGACAAGTATCGGATCAAAGATTGATAGCAGGCAGGCCTCCTCAAAAGCAAGCATGAAATGGTTTGAAACCCTCATTATTCCCTGCTGTGACACATCTCCGTCGCAGTCGATCACCTCTCCCACTGCGGCCTTTCTCCAATTAACACCTAGCTTCAGGATGTGGACCAAAAAACCGGTTACTTTACCGCTGTCGGCTTCAGCCGATCGTGAATATGGGCATGGTCCGAGAGCTGAGCTGCACGCTGGCTCTAAACCTCCTCCTTGTCACTGCTTGAGCGAGTCTAGACGTCAGTTGTCATCCTCGACCAGGTGCCCCCGTTACTTTGTTTCCATCTGCTTCTTTCCCAATTCCCTCATGTTCCAGAGAGAGCTTTGGGCATGATCTCCTCTATGCCCATTGCCATGGCTAATAGGATTGCAAAAATGCTGAGAAGTCGCTCGAAGAAGATCCCATTGGTACGCTCTCTCTCAGTATGATATCATGCTCATCTCAAAATCCCAAGAAGCCTACGTGAATCGGAGACAACCGACCAAGTCAAGAACGAAGTTCACATTCACGCTAGCCCCCACATCACAGTCAAGAAATCAGATCATGGAATTCGGACATCCAGCCCCACATCACGGCAACGGCGCTTGCGAAAGGTGTTGCAATCAGGGCCGGGGCGAGCTAGCCTACAAGAACAGACGTCGACGCATTGCATTCGATCACATGTCATGAAGAAGGAGGGGTGGGGGGCGTGCTTTTGCCCATCGAAGTTCGCCTGTTGGACAAGGGTATCCGAGCGAGTTGACTGGATCCCAAGTTGTATGACCCCAGAGATGGCACAGAGAGGCGAATCGGATTCTCATTCAGACGGTCTGTTCGACCACCGTGGGAGAATTGCTGTCTGCAGTGATCGGTTGCACTGCGAAGTGGCTTGAACTCTGCTGATCGTCGTTTAGGTTATAACTGTCTCGGTAGGAGGAGGTCGCGTGCGGTAGCATGGTACTATACCCATAAGCTTGGAATCTGGTCAGTTTCGCCCCTCGCCAGCTCTGGGGTGAGAATCGAAGATGACCAGCAAGGAATGAGGCTCAACTGGCTCTCTTCAGCAATTACTCCGCTTCCGTAGCTCTGAGTGTGTAGTCAACTATGGGGGTCTTCATGCATTTTCTGGTGGACAAAAGGACATAGTTCAGGCATGACACGCAACTCATATAACCCTTGGGTGACTCTCGGGACGGCAATCTCTACCACAGCAGCTGCTATGGTCCACCACCGATAGGTTCCAGGCCCTCTAAGCTCTTAACATGGGGACAGATGCTCACGAATCGTATACGTTGGTGGCGTTGGTGCCAGGCAAGTACTACTCAACTCTGTGAGATCATCACGCTTCTGCCGCTTCCTTCAGAGGCATTACATGTAACTCTCAGCAAATCCCGCATAGGAGATGAGCATACAAGGTCACTGTCGTCACTATCAATTTGCAGATACTCAAGTCCTGTATCGTTTACGTCGCCATTTGTGGTGTAGATTTGTTCCTCCTTCACTAGCTTATATATAGATACACCCTTTATCTTCAACACTCCACCTTATCAGAATTTTTGGAAGGTTACTACTTCTTGTGGCGAACTAAGAGAAATGATCAATTTGACAGACAGATCTTGTTACGTACTTTACCTCTGGTCAGAGTCGCTTAATTCAACGAGATATACCTCGTTATTGAGTGCTCCACCAATCTGAGGTCAGCAGACAATGCCCTACCTGGCACTCATCTGGTTTACTCCCACGGAGTGGAGCGAGACGGCTAGCGACGACGCTCAAAAATATATACAACCGGCAGATCTAATATCCGGTAATCAGGTTCCCATTTATAGTCAGAGTAGTCGACACTGTCTGTACCTTAATACATGAAGTTGCCATCGTGCTAGTCTTCCCGCATCATGTAGTCATCGCTAACTTACAAGTCTCGGCTACACCCAAGGGTATAATCCTGCCTACTAAGAGGCGGGCCGTACCGTTTATTCCATGGATTGATAGATCCCATCACGGGGTGAACGATCTAAGCCCCACAAAACTACTATTGCGGTGACAAATCCAAGCTCAGTGATCACAGCTGAGAGCCTTGAAGGGGGTAAAAGATGTGAGATTGGGATCGTGAGACCGATACGTGTCGAGCGTACATGCTCTCAGAGGCAGTCGTTAAGCTACTCTATTACTTGGGTAAATCAAATAAAAACTAGAAATCAAAGTTGAGGTAGAAAGGCCCTGGACAATACGGACAACTTGGACAGAAATCCAGATAATAGCATTAGATCATAGATGGGCCAAACGAAAGGTCGAATAACCCGGAGTATTACCATATAACATGCACACGTGTAGCATACATTACAATCGCAATTTGGATATCATGAGGACAAGACATAGAATGGGAACTTTCGAAGGCCACCAGAGGTTTTAACCCGCTCGGGGTCGGGGCCCGGTGACAGCGAAAAGCCCCAGAGGCTTGACGGTAAACGCGCCATTGTAGTTCTCGGTCGTCGGGTCGGTCACATATTTCTTATCGGCCAACTCGAACTCCACGTCCTTGAGGATGCTGACCAGCGTGAAGAACGACCATTCCCACGCATACTGCTGTCCAATACAGTGACGCTTGCCGTTACCGAATCCTTTCTTGACACTCGCCGGCAACCGGTCGTACTTCTCCCCGACCATGCGCTCGGGCTTGAACGCATCGGGATCCTCGAAGATGGCCGGGTCGCGGTTCACACCATACAGGATCGCGATGAGGGGTTGATCACGCGGAATTTCGTACTCTCCTCCAGCGAGGTAGACAGGGCCTTCCTCGGATGGAATGGCTTCGATGTTGAAGCCAGGGGCCGGAGGCGCGAGACGCATGGCTTCTCGGAGAATCGCAGTGCAATAGGGGAGGTTTGCAAGATGCTCGTGTTCGATCTGGGCACCAGGTCCTCCAACGACAGCATCTAGTTCTTCCCGGGCGCGCGCAATCTCCTTGGGGCTCTTCATAAGATAGTAAAGGGTGAATGCAACAAGGTTTGGTGCCGTTGCGCTACCGATAAAGACGTTGATCACTTCGTCGATCTGTTGAACCTTGTCCAGTCCTTGTCCAGTTTCTGGATCCTTGCCCTCAATGATCGCGTGAAGCATATCTTTCTTGGCGGACGGATTCGCGCGCCGATGGGCGATACAGTCGGCGGAATAATCACGCAAAGCTTTGTTGTAACCATCGAACTTGCGCTGGTAGAAGAGCCAGTTGAGAAGCTTTGGACGACTAGGGCGCCGGACGGCTTCGGTGGTAGCGTTCTCCATCGCCTTGATGAGCGACGGCTCTGGGCCTTCTAGACAATGCAGACGCTGGTCGAAGAAGCACAGCATGTTCGCGGCATGGTTAAGACGATCTAGATCGTTGGTGACATTAACACGCTGGCGCGGTCCGGCTGTCCACTTCCGGATCAGATCGGTCGATACCTCGCGCATGTCGGTGAAGACTTGTGCGACGGCTTCCGGGGTGACAAGGGGCGCCATGATGCGATGGGCGACCCCCCAAATTGCCATTTCCTTTTCGTAGGCTGTGAACAGACTCGAGTGGACCGCCTGTCGAATCTCGACAATGGGCCCGTTGACACATTTTCGAAAGCGCTTCTCGTCGCAGATTTCTTCCAGGAGAGCGGCGCCGGTTACCAGAACAATGTCGTGGCCGAGGATAGTGACTTTACAAATGGGACCTGCAAAGCAAAGCAAAGATTAGAACCAGGAGAATACATCAAGCATGGATTAGGTGAAGGCTTACGATACTTGGTCGAGAGTTTGTTGAATGACATCCAGGGGTTGCCAGAATTCACGTCGAAAAGGTTTCCGAGGAGGAAGACCCCGGGGGGCTTGGGAATTGCTGACGGCATGATTTGATGTTCGAGGAACAAACAGAGCAGAAAGCAAGTATTTCAAGTCAATCAGAGGACGCAAGCCTGTGTTATAAGCCAGTCAGCCAGCCTCCACACTTTCGGTGTGTAGGCGGCGTGTCGGCTCCCCCGTGCGACCTCCATAGAGACGACACGGATTGTGAATGGTTCTGAAAGAGTGCTGTGGCTGCAGATCTCAGCTGAGCTGAAATCTCGCCGATTCGCGCGACGATCCCTTCGATAGTCGGTTGTCCGCGCCCTTGACGAGGCCCCACTGGCGTCACCCCAGTGGTCGAGCGCAAGAGCCGATCTCCGCACAGATCATGGTTCATCTGGAGGATGGGAGCTACCTTGCTCGACGCCACGGGAGGGTATGCCACTCAGAATCGAGCGGTTGTCAGCGAAGGGAGGAATGCTCGTAATGTGATCACAGGCCCTGTCAACAAGAACAGGCTCAGTGCATAGTCTCTGTACAGTGTACATACTGGTTGCATGGGTGATTGCAGTGTCATTGCACTGTCCTTAAAGGTTGGAGTCGATCATGGACAATCATGATGAAAGAAAGAATTCATTGAATGAAGGGTTCTGTTGGTTTGTTTGGTTGAAGGAAGCACTCCGCAGCTGCAGTGCCAAGAAGGTCCATCGTATCTCCACTTTGGACGTGCCGTAGTGGATTAACAGACCCAATGGCATTTCCCACTGCAATCTCACCTCTGCACAACCGAAAGAAAGGAGAGAGCTTCAGGTGAGACAAGTCATTAGACCAAGAAGAGGTTCGCAATCCTGCCCAAATCATGGTCGGTCCCTTCAGGTTGATACCAGATTCTGCAGATTAAACTAAAGTCAGTAGCTAGTAGCATAGACCCTGTCTGATTATAGCCGAGCTCTGAGTGGCCGACCGCTTCTTGGAGCTGAAGCCAAGCGTTGTAGTGAGTGGTCAAATTCGAGAGGTTGGAGTTGAACGAGTGAGTGAGTTGACGGAGAGATGAAGATCGATCGGAAATCGCCCTTCCCCTCAGGCTCACATGACTGGCCCAATCCCAAGAAGTTATTACTGTACTGTACTGAGTCACTGCCACCTGCTCCTCCCCAATGGATTCTAGGATCACTCATTGTACTGATTTTGCAAGTCACCAACAACTTAACAGACGCTCAGGAAGCTTTCAACTCTGACGTATGTAATGCTACCAGACCTTCCTCTGTTTGCTCCAACTCTTAACAGACTAGCGCAACACTGATGCAATAACTACCCATTTATCATGCATGATACCGAGAGCATAGTTTCTGATCTGTCACTAGGTTAATTGTTGCGTCACCATCAGCCTCCAAGTTCCCTCAACTCAACGTGCTTGTTGCGCTCTTCGCGTCAAATTCCAACATCATGCGACTGTCCAGAAGAATGAACGGCTCGTATCGGAAGCCTCGTTTCTTTTGTTGATGACTTGAATTACCCGGAACACTGCTATTCCAGACGCCACTGTACCCCTCGAAGAGCATACGCCAGTAGCACGCCTCCGCTGCCTTGGTGAGATATCGGTCGCGGAATGTTTGTATACTGTTGGTGGCAATTCGTTCTGCCCGTGATGGATCGTCCAGCAACGGCTTTAACTTGGCTGCCAAGTCACTGAAACTCCTTTCGACTTCGACGTAGTTCTGGCTCGGTCCTTCTGAAACAAGCAGGTAGTGATGGTGCCGGATGCACTGCAGCTTGTGAGCTAAAACAACTGAGTTGCATGCCTGGCGATATTTTAGAGACGCAGAATAAGATCGTCCTAGGTACCATCATCAGCACACAGATACAACCAATCGGCGTGCGAAAACAAAAGCCTACCTTCAACGTGGGCGATAAACATGTACTGGCAATAGTCCTCTAGACTTATAACGTTCGTTCGTTGGTTCCAATCCACGGCTTTGACATCACCCCACGGCTGGCCTCGCCCAGCATCCATCAGGGCGCGCCGCAGCTTAGGTGCGAAATTGGGCTTTCCTCGCCAGACGAGTTGTCTTTCCTTTCGAGACCAGGGGATTTCTGTGCGCTTGATGTGGTCGACTACCTGGTCATAAGGTCCAATGGAGTTTTGTACATTCTCCCATGCCCAGTAGCCGAATTCGGGCATGAGCCAAACCGCCTCTTCACCGGCAGACCTTGCAAATGCCCAGATAGGCTGGTCGCCAGTGGTCACATCCGTGACTTTATCCTCCACAGAGAAGAGAAACTCCAGATCTTGTTTGGGGGCTCGTTCGGGGTTCGTGATAAGGCACGGTGTATGGCACTCAGGACAGCTAAAATCTTCCGTCGATGATCTTCACCTCGTGACAGCGCGTTCAAACGCCCGCGCCATGCCATGAGTTAACGGGATTAACTGAGTTAGTAAATGGTAGATATAATCGCGGTTTGAGCAGACGCCGTACCAGTTGATCACGATTCCGATCACAGAATAGTCCTAAAAGGTAGACGGTTCGAAGAAGATGACGTTGTTGTGAAGGCCATCGATGACTTCGAAAGAGTGCCATGATGGAGATGAGGGTGGAAGAGCTCTGCTTGTGTGGATGGTGGCTCCTATCCTGGTGATATGGCAATGTTATGGAGAGGAGCAGATAGAAAAGGCGGAACGATGGTGGTGGAAGCCTGGAGAGGCCATTCACTTCAAAGTTGTGCATCTCTAAGAGCCATGAATTTTGCTTGTGGACGGGACTGTGTGATAAGGGCTTTGAGATTTGAGGCATACGCAGCGTCTGCTGTGAATTCGTGGGCGTCTCAAGTCATGGAGCTCTGAGAAGGCCAATCCTCCTCCAATCGGCGATGCCACTGCCATATCTTACTAACTGAGAATAGTCTGAGAATCTCAGTTGACGTCTGGGCAGCATTTCTTCTGATAATATCACGACGATCTGATTATGTACAGTCGCTCGCAGCCGTTGGAGATTTTTTGCTCGAAGTACGTCTCTATGGCGCACCGGTCTACTTGCTGGTCCCCCTTAAATGGTAGGGTACTCTCAACGGTGATAGATACACTTGGTGGTTCTCCCCAAAATTAAGCTCCCGGAAATTGAGCGTAGATTGTTCATCCCCTGTACACATACCATCTGCATCCGAATTTCTGTATAGATACACGGGATCCACCACTGTCCCGCGCAGTGGAACCATAAGGGTGACTGCAGTCTGAAACACGGCCTGTTTGTCGACCATAGACAATGAGATGGTTGATAGTTAACAGAGTTTCATTTTCTTCATCTCTTCCGATAACTATTTTGCATATTCAGATTGAGGTTGTTTAACGAATTACTGGACTATCTTCAACTACTACTACTACTACTACTACTACTACTGGGCGGTGAACCAAGCTCCCCAAACAGGCAGGCGCACAGGCCACTTTCCACTTGGCAGGTTGACGCGCTTCCAGTTCCATAGTCCAACTGCCCGTGTTGTCGGCTTCCATCTTTCACCTTTTCCACCTTCAACTTGGGGTTTATACTTAATATTGTCTTGTCTAACAAATACAACCAACTCTCACTTTCTTTTCTCAACAACCCGTGCAGACCTTCCTGCGCAGGACTACGCACATCAGCGACCGCTTTACCGCCACTCTTTCCCGCGGACTGTTTATCCTCTCGCCGAAACATTCAGCATTCGTCGCCCCTCCAACCCGCCTCATGCCTCTCGGTCGATGGATGCCACCGTCGTGACCGCCCCGTCGTCCGTGAACCTCCCCCTAACAACTCCTGTCTCGCTTTTCACGTGCTCGTCTCGCCCATGGAAAAATTCTTGCGCTCCTGGCGCCAGGATGCGCTGAACCGAGGCCAGCATGACGCTGCCATTTACATCGGCGACAAAGTGCTGGCCCTGACCAGTGAGTCCCCCGCCGGTATGCGGCCGTGAGCTCTTTGCTCGCATGTCTACACGGACTAATCTAGGGACCACCTTGTTCCAGACAGTGACTCGGATGCCTTCTGGCTTGCACAGGTTCACTTCTCAAATAACAACTATGCCCGCGCCCTGGCCCTCCTCTCCCGCACAGACCTCATCTCCCGAAGCACGGCTTGTCGCTACCTTGCCGCACACTGCTACATCAAGCAGAACCAGTTTGAACAGGCGCTCTCTGTCCTCGGGGACCATAATCCAACCCACCTGGTGCGCAGCAGCAACAGTCGTCGCAAGCTGCAACACGTCAACGGCCAAAGCCATGTTACTCTGCGGAACGGAAAGACAACAGCGTCGCGGATCGACCGTAGCGAGGAGCGGGAAAAAGAAGACGCGAATAATGTTCGATTCGAGGCAGCAATGTGCTACCTGAGGGGACTCTGTTTTGCGAAGCAGAATGCCTTCGACCGCGCGCGGGATTGTTACAAGGATGCGGTCCGGATCGATGTTCAGTGTTTTGAGGCGTTCGACCAGCTCATGAAGAACTCGCTCATGTCGCCTACGGAGGAATTGGAGTTCCTCGAGTCGCTCGACTTTGATTCTGTCTCCAGCCCCGATCCGTCAGTCGCGCAAGAGGCGGCCCATTTCACTAAGATGCTATACACCACCCGACTGTCCAAATACTCCTCCCCTACAATTCTTTCGGATGCGACCGAAACTCTTTCGACCCATTATAACCTATCGGAAAATCCGGATATTTTGCTATCGCGGGCAGAAGCCCTATATACACAGTGTCGGTTCGCACAAGCTCTCGAACTCACCTCGTCTATCCTCTCCACGTCACAAACGAGCGCATCTTCGACGCAGACGGCAGCTGCAATGCACGTGTCCGCTCAAAGCCACCTTGGACATCCGCCTGCAGTCTACCCCTTACATCTGGCGTGTCTCTACGAGACCGGAGCCACGAACGCACTCTTTCTCTTGTCGCATACACTCGCTGATCACGCTCCAGAGGAATCGTACACGTACCTCGCTATCGGTGTATACTATCTGTCAGTTTCCAAGATCGCCGAGGCGCGACGGTTCTTTTCTAAGGCCTCCTTGTTGGATCCTCATTCCGCGCCAGCATGGATTGGATTTGCCCACACCTTTGCCGCCGAAGGAGAGCACGATCAGGCGATAGCCGCGTATAGCACGGCGGCGCGGCTCTTCCAGGGCAGCCACCTACCTCAGCTATTCCTAGGCATGCAGCATCTTGCATTGAACAATATGTCCCTTGCTCAAGAGTATCTTTCGGCAGCGTACTCCATGTCCACCGGGGACGCGTCGGGGTCTGCTCCCGCCATTCGTGCCAACCCAACGTCCGAGCTAACGTCTCTTGGTGGCGATCCTCTGGTCCTAAACGAACTTGGGGTGGTCTTCTATCACCAAAATCACCTTGAGGCGGCCGTAGAGCTCTTCCGCCGGGCTCTTGCACTGGCTACCTCACTGGAATGTGAGCCTGGGGCGTGGGTAGCGACGCGAGCGAACTTGGGACATGCTCTGCGTCGCATTGGGCGATTTTCGGAATCGCTGACGGAGTTCGATGAGTGCCTGCGCATTGGAGCCGCTGGCGCAAGTTTCGGGTACAGCCCATTCTTAGGAGGCAGCGGCGGGAGCGCATCTGGCGTCGCCACTTCGGGTGTTGGAGGTTACGAAGACCGCGGGCTGGTCGGCTCCTTGCACACTGCTCGCGGTCTGGTATTACTGGAATTGAACCGCACCCGGGAAGCAGTTACAGCGCTGCACGAAGCGGTGCGAGTGCTCGGGGCCAGCGGAGGCGGCGATGCAGCAGGTGGGGCTGGTATCGCCGGCACACTGCTCTCTCGCGCGCTGGAGATCTGGGCACTGGAAGGCCAAGAGACCGAGCAACTGGTGTTTGAAGAAACGAGAACCACAGCCAGTCGGAGCTCGACGCGATCATCCAAAGGCAAGGGAAAGAGCGTCTCCCGGCGGCGCGGGGTTCGTGAGGAATCGTACCCCGAAGAGTGGACCGACGAGGTAGCCACTGTCGATGCCCCCAACGCAGCCGCACACGCGGAAACGCTCGAAGAGAAAGTGGAAATGGAGCTGGACGACGAAGCAGACGGCATGTTGCGGCAGGCAATGAGCCGCGTGCGAGGCGGACGCAGCAGGCGACGGGTTGTTGAGGCGGAAAGCGACGAAACGCCTGGGCCTGCGAGCGGACAGAGTCGAGGAACGAGGCTGGTGCGAAGCAACACGAGGCAGCAGTGAGATGACATTGGAGCATAGACTACTGGGCGTTCGTTTGGATGAATTATACCCGGGTATTGTTGTATTCCTTGCCGATGGATCCATAGCAGACATTATCCACCTGATAGAGGGTTGAATGCTATTGAAGTATAAGAAGATTCCTTGTAGCTCTACTTAGGAGTTTGGTTTGCGTAGACATTGCTTTAGATGTAGTGAGGCCGAGCATAGCGAGGCAAGCACAGCGGGCATACCACATGGTACTGAGGCGGCATATCGATAAGCGCACGTGACCCTCACATGATCCTATCGCTCGATAGCGGCCGGGCGCAAATCGCCCTTGCCTTCGCCATCGCCATCATCACCGCAATCAACCACCTTCAACACCTACACTCTCACTCATCACCTTTTTCCCAACACCATCCTCGAACCGCCACCATGTCTGAGCGAAAGGCACGTTACTGCAGACTCACTCTCTACCAAGTTTCAAATCCAGGAAAGCAAAAACTAACCAACCCAACAGGTCCTCACAAAGTACTACCCCCCGGACTTCGATCCGAGCGCGATCACCCGGGTTCCGAAACACCTGCGCAAGACAGGGCCGAAGGTGATCACCGTGCGCCTGATGGCTCCTTTCTCGATGAAATGCGAGAAGTGCGGTGCGTGCCATCCCCAAATCCCAACCCCAGTTCCCATTTTAATCCGCGGCCACCGACCCCCACCTCATTCCTACTAACAAGTATAATCCGGCAGGCGAATTCATCTACAAAGGCCGCAAATTCAACGCGCGGAAGGAAACCACATCCGAAAAATACTTCTCGATCCCGATCTACCGGTTCTACATCCGGTGCACGCGGTGCAGCGGGGAGATCACGTTCGTGACGGACCCGAAGAACATGGACTACCGGGCGGAGCGCGGGGCGAAGCGGAACTTCGAGCCGTGGCGGGACGCGTCGCAGCTGCCGAACCACGACGAGACGGAGCAGGAGACGCTGGACCGGCTGGAGCGCGAGGAGGGCGAGGAGGCCGAGCAGGAGGAGCGCGACAAGATGGCCGAGCTGGAGGAAAAGATGCTGGACTCGAAGCGCGAGATGGCCATCGCGGACGCGCTGGATGAGATCCGTACCCGGAATGCGCGGATGGAGCGCACGGAGGCGCTGGGCGAGGAGGGCGCCGTCTCGGCGTTGGAGCGCGTGCGCGAGGAGAGGGATGAGGAGGCTGTGCGCGCGGAGCGCGAGATCGAGGAGGCTGCCCGGCGCGCGTTTATGACGGAGTCCGGGGAGAGGGTCAAGCGGTTGGTGGAGGTGGAGGAGCCTGCGGCGAGCGGGAGCGGCAGCAGCAGCAGCAGCAGTAACGGCAACGGCGGCGGCGGCAGTAGCTTCCCTGGTGGCGAGCAGTCTGGCGGGCCTGCGCCGCCGCCTTCCTTTGCGCGCGTCAAGAAGGCTAAGAAGCCCCTGGCCAATAGCTTGGGAATCAAGAAGAAGGCCAAGCCGTCGTTGGTCTAGTTCCTTTCCATCTTGTTCATCTCTATCTCATTCACAAGGCGTTCGGTTGCATGGCTAAGCATGGGAGGTTTTTACTACTACGAACTCACGATTACTTGCACATAGGTCTTTTCAAGGCTCTTAATCCTGCTATTCCACCTTACTCCTATCTCGTGCACGCACCTCTTGCACTATTCAAACAGTCAATAGAAAAGCACTGTCTCAATGGTCTTGGATATAAATGTCCGCGTTGATTAAATTATGATACAACAAACAGCGCAAACGATGACAACAAAAGCTATCAGATATCGTAACCATGTCCCATAGACTGCGCCCCGAAGCGCCACGCTAGAATGGAAACTCCCATTTGACTTAGCAGACCCGTAAGCCTCTTCCGCAAACCATGAATGAAAACTAAAGAGAACGCCGCAAGAGAAGAACAAATCAGAGGTATGCCATCCACAAAGCATCACACGAGGCAAGGTGTTGGGGGTTGACGGCCTTGGAGATGAGGTCGATGGTGGTTTGGTTGGCAGGCAGGTTGCCCTCCGGAGGACTAGCCAGACTGACTGCCCGGTTGACAATGATGTCGCTGTTGTTGTAGACCAGATCGCGAAGCTGAGGCGGTGGCAAAGCTCCACGGTGCTGCGCGGTAGCCCAGAACATCATCTCATCACGGACGAAGACACTCAGCTGCTGTTCCAATTCGTGTCGAGGCTCTGTGAGGCACCGTGCAATCGCCATCAGTGCGCAGGCAAAGAGACCCTCGGTTGCGATTGGTCCCAGCAAGGTCTGGATGTTGGGCGTGAACCGGAACGGTACCTGCTCCGGGTTGTAGAAGAACGCCTTGGCCGGGTTGATGGTGGGAATGAGCTCCGAGCCCCAGATGTCGCCTGTCTGTCTCGAAATCATGATCTTGTTGGGGTAACGGTTGCCCATGTGCATGACATATGTCATGAAAGCGATCGCCGCGTACTGATAGGCGAATTGCCGGCGGAAGAGCCAGAAGTCCGAGAAGTTTGGATAAATCCTCTGGAAGTAGTCGAGCACAACGTTACTAGGAACCCATTTCTCCTGAATAGCCGTGAGCATCTCAGTTCGAAGCACCTGCTGCTGGTCGGGTGTACGCTGAGATATGTCAGTCACGTTCCAAACTCTGGATTGAGGGGGTCCGCTCACATTTTGTTTCGTTTCCGCCAATGATCTCATCTTCTCCATCGTGAAGAGAACAGGTTCGTCCTTGTTAATGCCAACCCGTCGGCAGTAATCCTCATATATGCCTTGCATAGAGATGTAGGACGGATCATCGCGAACCAAGCGGATGTGGGGAGCCAATGGAACCATGAGTGGCAGATGGAAGTACAAGTTCCGCCGGCGGCTCTCCTTGCGCTTGCCTAGGATCCCATTGAAGATGCGGAACAATTGCAGAATACGCTCCTCTCGCCTACAGTGTCGCGCAGCTGGGTGTTGCACGGCGAAGGCGTGCACGCTTCCATCATGGCCCCTAATCTTCAACCGGCGGTGGCAGACACCGATGCCGCGTACAAGGTCAATGTCTGGCAAGAACCGATCGATGCGAACAAAGTCCTGATTCTTATCCTTGTGGAGCAGATACTGGCCTGGGACCTCAACCTCGTCGAACTTGAGGAACCGGAACTCGCTGAGGTGTGGAGAATAAGTCTCCAGGAACTGATTCTGGGGTCGACGGTCCAGCTTCTCTTCGAACTTATCACGCCAACGGCGAAGCTTGTGAATGTACTCGTACATCGTTGGTTTCTTGACAACGAAGTCGGCTTCGAAGGACTTGCGGATATGTGCTGGGAGGATAGTCTCTGCGAACCGAGTAATATTCGCCTCGGTGGCAGACGGTAACTTGAAGTCTTGCGCATATGAGCCAGGCATCCGACCAACGTACGCCAGACCGTCGTTCAACAAGGCAACAATGAGACGGTACGCATCCTCATCAGGAGGGCATTTGAAGTTCTTGTGAATCTGATCGACCATAGTTTCCATGGACAGAGCAAGCAGAGGGAATGCTGTCTTGAGGCCAGACATGATCTCATCGGAATACTCCCACGGCTTCTTGAGAGGTTCCTTCTCAATCTCTGTGCCAGGGGGCTTGGCGTTCGGCTGAGGAACACCGTTCTGACCGGGAACTTGGAGGTGCCCCTGAGGCTGCTGCTGCGGCTGCATTGGAGGTTGTCCTGGATTTGGTGCCTGGTTCTGCATCGGTGCGGGAGCCTGGGTCTGACCCTGAGGTTGCTGCATCTGGCCTTGACCGGGCACTTGCTGTGGCATGTTCGGATTCTTAATCTGTGCTGGGTTCGCAGGCTGGCCCTGGTTGACCCCTGCGGGATGGGGCTGAGCTTGATTGGGTACCTGCTGAGGGGTGCCTTGCTGACCATTTGGTTGTGCTGGACTGGGAACGGTATTGCTCGGCTGAACGTTTTGAGCAGGCGAGGCATCGGTGCTTGTCGGTGCAGTCTTGGCCAGAGGTGACGATTGTTGTTGTTGTTGGCCGTGGGCCCTGGTGCGGATGATCTTCTCCTGCTTCGAGTCATGCTGTTTCTTGATGTTGAGCATATCTTCCCTGTTCGTACGAAGCAAGAAGAAGAGAGCCTGTGGGAACAGCTTCGCGATCTTAACCAGAACAGCCTTGCACAGCCGCGCTTCACGGTGCGAAAGACTGGTGAGAAGCTGCGGAATAAAGGTAATCCAATACCAGACCGGCGTATCACCCTTGAAGTTCTCAAAAGCTCGAGCAATCTGACCTTCCTCATTGTCCAGGCTCAGAAGCCAAAGAATGCGACTCAGCAGTTTCCGAGATTTAGCATTCTTGTAAAGACCGGCAGCTTCTAGATAGCAGCTCACGGCGTTGCTTGCAAGCTCGTAGTCCGATGGGTCAGCCTTGAACCGCTGGTCACTATACTGACCCCACTCAGACCACGCTTTTGCGAGTCTCAATTCGTAGTACAACGCAACACCAAACGCCTCATTTGCCTCATTGACATGATTGAGCTTGGCAAGGAACATACCCTTGAGCGTGTAGAACTCTGCTTTTTGTTGCGCACCGAAGTAGTTGAGGTTGGTGTTGTTGATCACATCCAACCCACTGTTCAACTCCTTCGGATTCTGATAATGGCACTTGGCTTGCTCACGAAGCTTCAAGAATGCCTCCTGAATCTCGATATTTGGAAGTGTGTAGATGCGGCTAAGCTGGTTGATGCACACCTCGGGCATCTGATGCTTACGAGCGACATGAGCGAAACGGTTGATGATCCATGCCGTCTCATGGTACCCGCGATAGGCGTATGAGTTGCTAGCCACATTATTCGTCTGGGGTGGCAACAAACTCAGATAAGTCGCGTTGATAAGCTGGAAGATGTGCTGTCGCCAAGTAACGAGGTCTTGCCAAGCATTAATATCATCCCACAGATTGGGCAGACGATCTCTCCACGTTGCCAGCAGCAACTTAAGCTCGGCAGACTTCGTGTCCAGATTGCGTTCGTTTGTCTGAGACAGACTAGCGCAGATATGGCTGGCATCGTGCAGTTCGACCAAAAGCTGGAAGTGCTGCAGAATCGGGATGTGGGCGTTGGTGATTCTCTTGGGTAATTGGAGCCATTTCCGGATGGACAGCTGGATAGACTCGTCACAAACGCCGTTGAAGTCCTGGATATTCTCCTTCTTAATATGGAACTGAAGCAACGCCATGAAGGACTGGAAGAATGTGCGTCTCGGAGTGGGTGCATCGGAGACAGACTTGATCAGCGATTCGAGCTGCTCCCTACTGCCCTCGCTCTGCCAATTCTCGATGTTTCTCCATGCAGACTCCAGGAGAAGGTCGTTCAAATTCTCATGCTTGGCGAAATCGCTTAGAACTTCCCACTGCTGCAACTTCTGTGCGCAGATCAACCAGTGGTCCTCCCACAAGTAGTACTCGCCTTGTGAGAAGGGCATGGCTCCAGAGCGAGCTTTGATCTGGGCATTTTCGTAGAGTTGCTGAGCCTTATCCCACATGCCTTGTTGCTCGTACGAAAGAGCAGCATTGGTTTCGACAAACTTGCAACGACGCCTCCATGTGCCGTAGAAGAAATCGTCTTCCTGCAGACCAGCGTATACTTCGACCAAAGCATCCAGATTACTTTCACGGACAGTAGGAGTGTCAATGATGGGGCTGATGGCTGACTCCTCCAGGTACGTAGCGGCAGTATACCAGGCATCGTAGGTTCGGCTCAGATACTTCATAACGTGAGGAGGAACCTTGAATCGCGGGCGTGCTCGGACAACGCCCTCAAGCAATGCTTGCACAACGTTCGGTCGCTTATCCAGCTGTCTTTGATGGTACTCCCGAGTAATGAGCGTCACCACTCCCTTCTCAAGATCTATGCGGTCTTCCCTCGAAAGTGTAGACCAGAAAATGGGGAAGAGCGTGGTCCAGAGCTTGTAGGACACATTAGGATCAGTGTGCTGAAGCTGAACCAAAGGCTCCACCAGGTCGCGAGCCTTCACATCACCAATATCTGCAACGAATCGCTTGCGGTCAGTGACGAAGGCCTCCAGTTGTGTGTCGATCATGATGTCAGCTTTACGAGGATCCTTTTCGGCATTGCCAAAGAGAAAAGACACAGGATAGACAGTGAAATCATCGGGGTGCAACCTGGCCGAAGATGCCATATCCACGCAGCCTAATACCAAATGTGAGGCTTGCGCCAACCAGAAAGAATCAGCAAGGGTATCCCAGTTCTGGCAAGTCAATACATAGCTGAGTCGAGAGCTGGCCAGGCGAGTCAAACTGCGGTCGAAGATAGTCATGAAGCGATTGCGCATTTCAACATCTTGAGCTCTGGTGCCAATCAAGAAAGCGTGCTCAAGTCTCACTGTCAATTCGGTGCGAGTGATCTTGGAGTCTTCGTAGATCCTGATGACAAGATCAAGGAACTTCTTCAGCATCGTCTGATCGGTACGAGATTCGAAGAGCAGCATCTTGTGCAAAACAGCCGTCTTTTCCTTCAGCGTGGGCCACGACTCAGTTGAATGGAAGATCCAGGTCTCCACCATACCAAGGACCTTGCTGCAAAGCTTGATGTTCTGCGATCGCTCAACTAATTGCGCCAGGACACTCAAGAAAGGTCGTCTCTGCTCTCCGAGGTGAGACATGCGCACGGAGACCAATTCAATTG